AGTCTAAGACACACACAAGAATTGATGATTTCTGACCATTAGGTGACATCTACTGCCAATGCATACCCTTTATATTCTGCCACCAGTTGCCCATTTCTGATCTTGACAACTCAATTAAACTGCCTCAACTGAACCAACACTCGAGATTCTGACTGCGCCCAAAGACCGTGTTTCAATGTGATAAAACAAAAACAAGGCACAATCATTTAGCCCCAGCGATAAGCACTTGAAATGACCAATTGACCAGTTCGGACACATGATAAAACGTGAATTGGTGGCAATGCCGACTTTATGGAGGGCACAATTTGTACTTTCCCAATTGGGTTTGGGCTTGGGTTTTGTTGCTTTACTTACCGCTTCGGGATCGGGAAGTCCTGTGGGCAGTGTGGGGTAAATAGGATCAACTCCAGGTGCAGGGGTTGTGCCGCCTCCAGGAGTGGTTCCGCCACTTCCAGGAGTGGTTCCACCTCCAGGACTTGTCTGTCCCCCAGGAGTGGTACCCGAACCGCTGCCAGGCGTTGTCGCACCGCCACTGGGTGTAGTGCCTCCAGGATTGGGCGTAGTGCCACCAGGAATGGCTGTTGTAGTAGTCGTCGAGGTGGAAGTGGTGTCCGCTGTAAGCGCATCAATCTTGTTCAGCGCATCCTGCAGATCATTCTCCAGATCGGTGTTCTGCACGGCCAGCACAATGGTGGAAATGCAAAAGGCTGTGGTAGCCAGACCCAGAAAGATGGCCACAAACTTGACAGTCAGCCCTGAAAGGGTTTTTGGGTTGTATAATCTCCGCACCAACTATCAAACTTTGGACTACTCACAGGCAACCATTTTTGTGGTCGTTTATCCTTGCACTTTTGCGGAGAACTTTCGAATTATGCTTCCACTGCGCTGTGCGCCAAATTGGAAACTAAATGCAAACTTCGAATCTGACCAAACAAGTTGGACTTGATAAACTTGTCCAGATTGCTGGACGATACGATATCTAGACATGCCACAGCCATATAGCTCCAACGATGGCCAGATAAATAGTCTTTAGGTTTAGGTTTATGCCTGGGCCATAAGACGGACGGACATTTATGTTTTTATTTTCGCAGCGGTTGTACATCGGAGTTTATGGCCGGACAGTCACAGAACCAGGATGATTGCTCACTAGATTGCCTGCATGACCATCAGCATTTGCTTGGTCACATTTCTTGGATAAACAAATAAAGGAAATTCTTGGTTTTATTTATGGTTTGATTTTGGAACTTTATTTTATTGAACTTGAGCGGAAATTTTGTTACGTTTCTTATGCAATTTTTCGCCAGCTAATTGCCTGCCAATTGGCTCTAAAACATGAACTTGGACATACGTATGATTATTTATTGTACTCTAAAGACCGCGTTTACAATGGGTTTTTACTTGGTCAAGGGAACGGAGGTGCCATCCAGCCAGTCGCTGATGTCATTGGTGTTCTGCTTCAGCCATTCGATGTTGTACTTGATGGTCTCCACCGCCTCCAGGCGCGAGTTTGCCCCGGCACCAGACTCGGGATATTTGGCAAAGAATTGCTGCACTTCCTCCAGCTTCACCTGGCTGGCAAAGTTCTTTGTAATCTGCGCAATCAATCGCCCAAAGTTGCGATTAGTCAGCCCAAAGCGAGCGCTCAGCTGTGGCCACTGCTCCCGGTAGTAATCCCAGACGACGGGCTCGCCCACGGGATTCCCTGCAATGTTCTGCACGAGCGTGAAATAATCCTGGGAGCGCACAATGCTCTCGTCTCCGGCCAGTTCCAGGAAGCTAAACAGCAGCTGTGCATCCTGCACACCCGCCAAACCGTACATCAGCTTCAGCTTCTCGCTGGCATCCGTCTCCGCCAGGAAGAGCTCGAAGAGCTTCTGCCAGTTGGACTCGCTGGTCGACTGCTGCATGCCGTAGTAGTAGACAATCTCGCGCAGATCGGGCGCTGGCCGGTTGGCAGCTGTAGGGTTCTGCAGCCAGGTGTTGAAACGGAGAGCAGCCTGGTTCAGGCAGTCGGGCAGGCCGAGGGAACAGGCGGCAGAGAGCAGGGACACGCGAAGGCGACTGAGGGAAGAGAAATTAGTCATCAGAGAGGAATTTTTGGCCTAGGAAAAGGTTGAGGGACAATGCCTACTTATTCAAATGATTGTTGGCATCCACAGTCCAGCCCACTTCCTGGTAGACGCTCTCAACTAGAGTCCTCGCATAGGTCAAGTAGGACACGTAGCCCTCGTTGAACATCAGACTGCGTTGCAGCGCCTTGAGCTTCTGCGCTGCCACATACCAGGGCACAAAGTCACGCTCCTGCCCCAGATAGGCGGTCATCTCCAGTGGCACCTTGTAGGACAGTTGACTGGCATCGGCCAGGGCAAAGGCATCGTTCAACAGATGCGCACGATCGGCGACATCCAAGCGGGATGGATCGGCGATCAATTGCTGGATGAGTGCAGTCCACAGACTCTCCTCATAGTTGACCCGATAGTAACCCAATTGATGGACATTCAACTTAATCCACTGCACCGTGGATTTACTGACCAGATCTATGTCCGCTGCAGGTTGGTCATAGGGAAAGACCAAGCTACCGGTCTCTCTATCCGCCCAAGAGTCCAGGGTGTAGGTGATGGGCACGCTCCATTTGTACTGGAATTCGCTGTCCTGCGGCGCCTCCTCATAGCTGGCTTGGTTTGAGAGGAAGCGCTGCTGAGTGATGCGGAAACCAGCTTCTGCACGGGACACATTGAGCACCGGGTAGCCCATCTGCTCCGTCCAAGTGCGCATCAGCAGCTTCACATCGTAGGCAGTGACCAGAGCGGCCACCTCGCTGAGGAAGTCATCCGTGACGGTGTTTTGGTACTGATACTTGACCAAATAATTGGTCACAGCCTGCTCAAAGGTATCAGCGCCCACGAGCGTCTCCAGCATGCGGATAACCGATCCTCCCTTCTCATAGCTGATTGTATCGAAAATGGCAGAAATCTCCGCGGGTGTCTCCACCTGTTGGACAATAGGGTGCGAGGAGAGTTTGCCATCATAGACCATGACTGGATGCAGTGCAATTATTTGGAATTGCTCCAGCTAAAGGGAAGACTAGAGATGTAGATAAGTCTCGAAAAGCTTTCCCATGAATCACCTACCATTCCCCAATCGGGATACACAGCATTCACTCCCTTATACTGCATGTAGCGTGCGAAGCCCTCATTCAGCCAAATGTCATTCCACCATTGCATGGTCACCAGATTACCGAACCATTGATGGGCAATCTCGTGGGCCAAGACGGCAGCAATCGACTGCTTGTTGAGCGTCGAACTGTAGTTCTCGTCGTAAAGCAGTGCAGTCTCGCGGTATGTGACCAGACCCCAGTGCTCCATGGCATTGGAAGAGAAATCCGGAATGGCAGCCATATCAAGCTTGGTCAGTGGATACGGCACTTTGTAGTACTGAATGTAATACTCGGTGACGGCAGCTCCAAACTCCAAGGCGAATGCCACCTTGCTCAGCTGATGGGGCGTGGCAAAAGCCTCCATGCTAAAGTCCTCGCCAATGCCATTGGCTTGGACAGTCGTGGACTCGGAGGCAAAATCGGAAACAATAATGCACACGAGGTAGGTGCTCATGGATACGGTGGTTTCGAACACCGCCTCCGTGTACTCGCCCAAGTAGGTGGAGTCCTGATGGAAGGGTTTTAATAGCTGGAGAGTATTTAACTTAAGGCTGGACCTACCGTTTGCTTCATGTTGGAAACTGCATGATATGAACCCGTGGGATGTACCACAGTGATGGCAAAGGTGGCCTTCATTGCTGGCTCATCGAAGCAGGGGAAGGCCTGACGGGCATAAACTGGCTCGAATTGTGTGGAGGAAATGTTACTGGAAAAATAAAAATTCTTCAAATAAAATTACATTCAAAAAATAAAAAGCATAAGCGGAAAACAGTGGCGCCAATGGTAAACATTTCCATCGCCAGAGGTCTCTGTCTAAAGCTCTCTGCTTGAGATGCAGATGTCCCTTGTAGATGTCTTACAGCTTCTGTCATGTAGCGAATGTCTTGTAACTGCTGTCGTGCAGTGTCTGCTGCGTGCAAAACTCAAAACGTGACTTACCGTTGATCACCCGCCTCCGACTTGTAGGTGCTGCTATACAAACCCACCAGCTTATCGGTCATCTTGCCATTGAAGAGCACACCCAAAGTGATGCTGGAACCGACTGTCAGTTCAGTGTTTAACGTGATAATCAGCAGCTGTCGCTCCAGTTCCAGTTCCCATTCCACAGCGTCTTGGTTCAAAACATAAACATTTGTCACATCCAGCAGGTAAGCGTGCAAAACTATTTGATTGGTGGCCTCCAACACACTAATGGTGATTCGTTCCTGCCCCGTAAAGGTGCCTGTGTCGAGGTCCGGATGCCAGTAGAGTTCGTAGTGCACAGGCCGCAGTGCCGTGGGCAGGCGATAATTAAGCTAGAGATAAAAATGTAGTTGAAAATTGTGTGAAATATCTCTGATGACTCACCTCATCGTCGCGTCTGTGCCTTTGGTTGATCTGCTCCCCATCTACCTCCTTGTATATGTCAATCTTTTCCTGCACATCCCTCAGATTTGCCTCCAACTTTGCGTTTTGCACGGCCACCACCACAGTGGCTGTGGCAAAAGCCGCCACCGCCCAGGCCAGTGCCACTTGCAGCAAATTATGCGTCCAGAACATCCTCGCAATGCCAACAATCGTTAGCGACTGAAACTACCAGCCAAGAATACCGGCCCCGGCCCCGGTCCGAGCCAACGCCAACGCCAACTTCAGCGATTAGCTGTTATAAAAACTAATGCCGATTGTGGTTTGCCCTCAAAGTTTATGTTCAGTACAGGCAGCGATAATTGGCAAAATAAGTTCGATTATGGCCACCACATGACGGGGCACGTCAGTGGATCTGCATTCGTACTTTTGCCATTAAATCAAATCGTATCCCCACACAAAACCCCACCTTATCGTGGCAAATGGATAATTGCGCTCATTTATGGAGCTGTAATGTTGAGCTTATCTTTATTCCCATTGGTCGTTCTTTATGGCCAAAAACTTAATAAACATAAGGAAAAAAACCCAAGGGAATGGCCAGCTACAGTTGCTGCTCGTCCAGCCAGGCGTCGACGCTCTCGAGATTCTCGGCCAGCCACACAATATTGTTCTTCACCGTTTCGAGGGCACGTACACGTGCCGCAGTGCCAGCTCCTGCCTCGGGATACTTCTCAAAGAAGTACTCCATCTCCTCGAGCTTCGTTTGGGTGTTGAAGCGAGCCGTGATCGAGGGTATCAGATTGCCCAAATAACGTTCATTCAGTCCGAAGCGGTCGACCAGCTTCTGCCAGTTCTCGCGCACATATTCCCAGACCAGCGGCTCACCCACGGGATTCGAGGCAATGTAAGTCAGGCACGTGAAGTAATCCTGACCGCGCACGTAATCCTCATTCCAGGCGAGGTCAATGTAGCGCTGGAGTATCCACGGCTCCTGCACAGCGGACAGGCCGTACATCAGCTTGGACTTCTCGCTGGCATCCGCCTCGTCGACGAACAGCTGCCAGACCTGCTCCCAGATCTGCTGATCGCCCACGGACAACATGCCGTAGTAGTAGATGGTTTCGCGGACATCCGGCTTGGGTCGCTCATTGGGCTGGGCCAGCCAACTGTTGAACTGTGCGCCCACCTCGCTGAGGCAGGACTCGAGGCCCAACGAACAGGCGGCACTCAGGGCAGTGACACGCAGGCGACTGAAAAGAAAGGAGGAATGTAAATGGAGGCACCAGAGAGGGATCGTCCCTTGCCACTCACTTGTCCAAGTGATCCTCGCCCACTGTCCACGTGAGTGCCGTGTAGATGGGCTCGATCAGCGCCGTGGCATACTTCTTGTACTTCACGTAGCTGGACGTGTAGTAGAGCGTGCGCTTCAGCGATGTCAGCTTTGAGGCAGCCACACTCCAGGGCACATAGTCCTGCTCCTTGTCCAGATACTTGGTCATGTCAAAGGCAATCTCGTACGGCAGCTGCGTGGAGTCAGCCAGCGCAAAGGCATCGTTGAGCAGGGAGGCGCGGTCGCCCGAGCTGAAGGTGCCCGGCGTGGCCACCAGCTGCGTGGCCAGCGATTCCCACAACGCCGCAGCATAGTTGACCCGATAGTAGCCCACTTGCTCCGCGTTCAATTTGATCCACTGCACAGCAGCGGGCAGAGTTATGATGACTGCAAACGGAATAGAAGATCGTTAAATGGAGCACTGTCTGCCGCGCATACAGATGCCTCGACTTACCTTCGCTTTGGTCATGGTAAAACCAAACCCGCTGCACACTGGACTCCGCGCTGGTGGTGTATGTGATGGGTATTGTCCAGCGGTAGCTGTGGGTAATGTATGTGCGAAATAATTCAATCAGATACCAGTTGGAAGTTCATTATGCTGGCACTCACTTGTATTCCGAACTCTCGTGCTCTGCGTCATAGTCGTTGGGATTGGACAAGAAGCGCTTTTGCGTCAATTTGTATTCAGTGTCGGATAGCTGCTCCACCGTGACAACTGGCAGACCCATCTGGAAAGTGAGTTTCATGCAAATATTTAGAAATATTTTTGCCTTGGGCAGCGCCTTGAGCTCTTCACCTGCACTGTCCATGTCAGCATAATGGCCGTCACATTGTGGTCCAGTCCCAGCTTATCAATTTCCGTAAAGAAATTGGAAGTCTCCGCCGTCGTGTATTTGTATTCATTCAAGTAATTGGTCACCGCTTCCCGGAAGAGGGCCTCGCCCAGAAAATCCTCCACCATGCGCACCAGCGAGGAACCCTTCGAGTAGGTGATGGTGTCAAAGATTTCCGTAATCTGATCTGGATTCTCCACGGTCTGGATGATGGGATGGGAGCCCAAGGTGCCGTCTAAGGTTAACACGCCATGCAAAGTGCTCACAATGAATTGATCGCGCTGTGGAAAGGTAAAGGTAAAACATTAGCTGGACTGGAACTCCCCCAGTTGTTCCCCTGCCAACTTGCCATTTTCCACTCGGGAAAGACAGAGTCCACGCCCAGGTACTCGATAAAGCTGGCAAAGCCCTCGTTTAGCCACAAATCGTTCCACCAATTCATGGTTACTGGAAAGAGTCGAAAGCTGATGAGCTTGTGGTTGGGGTCAAAGTTTGAACTTTACTCACCCAAATTGCCGAACCACATGTGAGCAAACTCGTGAGCAATGACCGAGGCAATGCGCTGCTTGTTCGCGGCCGAACTTGTCTCTGCATCGTAGAGCAGACTGGTCTCGCGGTAGGTGACCAAACCCCAGTGCTCCATGGCGCCGGAGACAAAGTCGGGTATGGCTGCCATGTCCAGCTTGGGCAGCGGATACTCAATTTGGAAGTAATCGATGTAGTACTCAATCACACCCTTGCCCACCTCCACGGCGAAGTCCACTTTGCCAATCTGCTCGGGCGTGGCATAGACGCCCATGGTGAAGGTCTCGCCAATGCCCCTGGTGTCCACCTCCACAAACTTTGCCGTAAAGTCAGAGACAATGAAGCAGGCCAGATACGTGCTCATGGGCACACTCTTGGCGAAGGTGACCTCCGTGTAGGCGCCCTGATTGGCCTGCGACTCGATGTTCATGTTGGACAGCGCATGGTAATCCCCATCCACGGGATGCACGAGGGTTATCTGGAAGGTGGCCTTCAGCGCTGGCTCATCGAAGCAGGGAAAGGCCTGGCGGGCATAGGTGGGCTCGAATTTGGAGGTGGCAATCCACTTGCGACTCTCATCCGCCTTCACATACGACGAACTGTACAGGCCCACAATCTTGTTGGCCATGGAGCCACCGAAGCCCAAATGGAGCTCCACCTCAGTGCCCGCTGTCAGCTGCTCGGCCAGCTGCAGCACCAGAAACTCTCGCACCGCATCGAAGCTGATCTCGGAGACCTCCACGCTGGAAGAGTCCGGCTTCAGCACGGACACGCCGGAAATGTTGAGGTTGAGCGAGTGCAGCACAATCGTATCGGTGGCCTCGTGCACGTTCAGTTTAATCGTTTCCTGGCCATCAAACACGCCCGTCTCCACGTTTGGAAAGAGGTACAAATCGTAGTGTGTGGGCTCCAGGTGGCTGGGCAGACGATAGTCAATCTTTTGCTCAGGAGCTGCCGTGGTGGCAGGAGCTGCCGTGGTGCCTGGCGCTGCTGAGGGTTCTGGTTCTGCTGTGGTGCCTGGCGCTGCTGTAGGGCTCGCAGGCGGCGCTACCGTGCTCGTGCTCGTCGTTTGCAGACCCGCCTCCAGCATATCAAGTTTCTCCTGTGCCTCGCGCAAATCATTCGTCAAACTGGACTTTTGCACGGCCAGCACAATGGTGGAAACGGTAAACGCGGTCAGGGCAAGGCTCAGCCCAATGGCCACCAATTTGGCGGTGACAATCATGCTCGATCTTTCTAAAGCTAATCCAACACGGGCCGCATCCAATGCGCTACTAAGCCTTGTCCCATGGGGCTGGGAGCGAGGTAAACTGGCAGGCAGGCGAGCCTCAAGTGGCTCCACTATATCTTAATTGGACATGTGTGATGTGTGATACCGCGTGTGTTGCTGATTGCTAATCTAATCGCGGGCACGGCTCATCGACTGGGTATTAGTCGGCTGAGGATCGTTAACAAATTTATGGGCCTGTCATGGCGCTGGGCATCGCTTTGATTAAAGTTAGAAATGCCAAAAAAGATCGGTTGCGTTTTTCCTGCTTCCAGTCGAATTTCCAATCTGGGCTACTGAGCCGAGCCGAGCCGAGACGAGCCGAGACCAGAAAGTCCCAGTGCTCAGCTCCGAAAGTTTCCAACAAATGCCCGTCCATGTGTGAAGACCAATTGAGCAATTTTGAAGCCTACCTACCTACGCGGTGCTGTTTCTCCCTGTATTATCCGGCGCTTAGGCCTAAAAAACCCTTTTCCGGTGCCGCAAACGATTTTCGACCTAATTAGAGACGCGCAAACGGTATTTTCATTGTGTTAAAACCCAATCAAGCAAATTTCCGCAACACATTTTGTTGCAAAACGTAAACGCCTGGCCCAAGTACCTCATGGAACTATATTTATAATGACTTTGCCTGTGCACAGTTCCCTGCTAAGTACATCGCAATCGACGCTCAAAGTTGTTGTCTCCTTTAACATAATTATCGCAATTATCTTTAGAGTGCCGCGAATATGACAAGTGAATTGATAGGTTTCGATTGATTTTTATTACATTATAATTCCATTCATTATTCATTGCTTTTGCTGGTACATGCCTCAAAGTACATTTCTTATCTCACAGAATTATCTTATTTTTCCTCTTATCTCGCTTCACTTCTTATCTTTGGCATTAAGCGCCATTTGGCCTAATCCGTGCGTATTAACTTTTGCGCGTAAATACCAAACCAAACCAAACCAAACCAAACACAGCCACAGTCCTTTTCTGTACTGTCCCTTTCCCTGGGGTATTCTTCTGCCCAAAACAGCTTACCACAAAGCGCAATTAATTTCCCAAATTATATGTATATGCTCGAGAGCAGCAGCAGCAGCAGCAGCAGCACTAAAAACTATTTGTCATATGTTTTGTTATATAATTGGCTTGGCCAGGATCAACAACGTGCGATCAAATATCCCCGAAACAAAACCCAAACAAACCCGATCTAACGAATCATCAGGGCAGCGCGCAACGAGCAGCGCGCATCGGGGCATTGATATTGTCCAGTGGGTAACGGGAATTACCGAACGGACTGAATGAGTTCGGGCACATTTCATTCATGAGCGCACGTCAGGGCGCCACATGACGTCTACCTGCTTAAGCGTGGGAAAGTTGAGAGAGCGTCGCAAAGAGAGCGAGAGAGCAAAGATCCAAAGCGCAGCAGGTAGCTAGCTGTCCGGATGAGAGCTGTTGGGCTGCTCCGCAATTTGGGACCACCAGTGGGTTATTTGTGTGCGCGCCGGCCGCTGGGACTTTTTGTCTCTCCACAAAATCCCAACCCAAGACAAATTTCCGGTTTTTCGGCCAGGCCCGAATTTCCCACGGGTACGGCCCAGGATTGTCATTGGCTCCTGGTATAAATGCGAACAGCCATGAACCTCAACCATTCAGTCAATCCAGAGACACAACGGAGACAACACACAAAATCACACACAGAACACAGAATCTACACAAAAAATGTTCTTCATACTGAATTTATTCCTGGCCATTGCCGGCTCCTCGGCGGGTGTCATTGAGCCCATGAACATGAACTACTACCAGTACACACAGTTCCAGGCGCCGCTCTCGTGGGAGGCCATCACCGGTGCGGGACTGAAGCAGGCGCTCTCCAGCTGCCAGGATAGCTTCAAGTGGCAGCGTTGGAACTGCCCCAGCACGGACTTTGTCAAGCGGCACACGGCACCGGCTACGGAAACGCCGGAGCGAGAGGATGTCTATGTGGCAGCCATCTCCATGGCCTCCATCGTGCACAAGCTGACCAAAGATTGCGCCAATGGAATCATCGCTGGCTGCGGCTGCACGGGAAACGCTCTCAATGTGCCCTGTGCCCATGAGCCAGCTAAGTCCGTGGAGCTGTATGAGAAGCGCTTTGGTGCCGGCTCGGATGCCGCTGCACACAATCAGCGGGTGATTGGCTCGCTACTGCAGCAGTCCCTGGTGCAGGAGTGCCGCTGCAAGCAACCCGGACCGCAGGGCAAGTGCCTCGAGGAGGAGTGCGTCAAGGTGCTGAAACCATTCGAAGCGGTGGCCCAGGATCTGCTGCAGATGTACGACGATGCCATTCAGCTGGACAGCACTGCCAGCAATCTGAAGATCATGTGGCAGAACATTCCCCTCGACTCGCTCGTCTTCATGCAGGACTCGCCGAACTACTGCGAGCCCGAGGCCAGCGGCCGCTGGACAGGCACACGAGGCCGCCAGTGCTCTAGGGATGGCAGCGGATCCGTGGAGGAGCGCCTCTCCTGCCAGCAGCTCTGCCGCGTCTGCGGCTACCGCGTGCGCACCCAGCACGTGCGCAGCGAGCGTCGCTGCAACTGCAAACTGGTCTGGGGATTCCGTCTCCAGTGCGAAGTTTGTGTCCAGCTGGAACGTCAGTACACCTGCTACTAGAGCCAAGCAGCAGACTGTGGACTGGGGCGCTGGTCAAGCCTCACGAAAAACTTAGATTTAAATTAATTTATTTGTTTGCAACGTTTATTTATTTCCACCTAAAATACCAACAATAAAAATACATAATTTACGATTTAAACATACTTGAAACTGTGCAACTGCATTTACCACTTCTTTGACAAAACTTTTTACAGTCAGTCGGAATGATTTATTTAGTCAGATAGGAGCATTTGTAATGGTTTCTGATTTGCTGCACGTGAAAGTCATTTCAGCTGATTGCCAAAGTGCCTGTACACGAAGAAGATTTAAATTTGAAAACTATTTGTGCCTTTCTAAAAACTAAAGAAAGAAGCACTTGCGACGCCATAAATTAGAATATTTCATGGACTCCGAAAGAAATAGAATCACCCACTGGGTTTCGATTACGATTTACTAGCTCAAAGCTTGTTGACAAAAACAAGCATGCTTGAGCGCTGGCAGAGCTTTCATCTGAGCTAAGCAGCAAATTTGCGCGTGCATAGAAAAAGTTTTCAGTCAGCGCAGTCGTGCAGCGCAGCGCAGCTTAAAAACTTCGTGTACTTTCGGCACATGTACAGCGAACCGACGCAGCTGCACAAAAACAACTGCGCATGTGGCCCATTCACAATTGCACTGCTGCCGCAGCGGCAGAGCAGCAAGAAATGTTTTTGACTTCGTGTCTGTTGTGTGTGCATGCAAACGCACTAAAATATTTGACTACCACACGAAGCTTTTACGCTGTGCTTACGCCGACTGCGCTGCCCGGAATTGTTTTCTTGCACTGCTTTAAACCCCCACGCACCAATCAATCAACGCAAAAAACACGCAATCAACCCCGATGTCTATATGTTTATTCCAATGGACTTAGAACCTATAACTGAAACTTAATGCATTTTGAGTTGGTTGTACTAACTGAGCAGCTGTGCTTTTTTAGCTAATCCAAGCGGCTGGCTTGCCCTCCACCCGATATCCATTGTAGGCGGCCGCTGCTGAGGAGGCGGCAGCTGCCAGCTCGGATCTTCGGCTCGGCTCGCCGGCCCAGTACGATGGAACCTCGTAGCTCTGCACCATCTTGTTGCCGTTCTTGATGGCCGAGATAATGAGCAGGAAAATGGCCAGCTTGCCCACCAAAATTGACTTGACCAGCAACAGCTTAAGCTTCGTCACCAGAAACGGCACAATGGCGGACTGAATGAGGAACGGCAGTATGAAGAGGGGCAGCACTTTGGTAATCATATCGTACTTCTTGCCGCGACCTAGAAGGTGTCAATTGGGTTTTAAGTGGGTTGAGCTTTGGCTCCCAGACTAGCAGCGGACTCACCCTCTTCGCTGTCATCCGTGTTCATCCAACGAGCTGCCATAATCTCCTTGAGATTCTCGCCATCCAGCTTCACGTGTATAATGTCGTTGCTCATGTCCAGGCTGACATTGAGGCCGGGTCCCACAAAGTACCGTTTGATGGTCTCATTCTCATTCGCCGACTGCAGCTCTGGCTGCTCTGTCCCCGTCCCCGTCCCCGTCTCTGTCTCTCTTTCTCTCTCTGTTGCCGCCTCTGCTGAGCCCGTGTCCTCGCGCCTCTTGTTGCGATCCTTGCGCTTGCGTTTGCGTCGCTTCTTGCCCGCCGCCGTCTCATTGTCATCATAGATGGGCGTTCCAGTTTGTGCCTCCAGCAAGGCCTCCGCATTGGCCTCCTGGCGCAGCTCCTGTGCGAGAACATCTGCAGCCTCCAGTTGCTCCTGTTGGCCCTCGGCCCCAGCCTCATTGTTGGGCAACTGCGAAGCACTCACGCGATCCCTCAGTCGCTTCTTGTACTCACTGGTCGTCTTGTTGCCCAGATAGGTGCTCTTGTAGTTCTTGTAGATGCCCATGAAGATGTGCGAGTTCTTCCGCAGTGACTGCTGCTTATCCTCTGGCTCGTAGCTGCTGGCCAGCCCACGAGCCGCTTCCGTGCCAGGCCCCGCCTCGCTGCTGGTCTCCTGCGCCCAGCTCAGAGCGGTGCAGAGTACACTCAACAAAAGGAATCTCACTAGGCTGCTCATCTCGGCTGCTGCTGCTGTGTTGATTTTGCTGCTCCGCTCGATGTGTGCACGCTGCACTGGACAGCCACAAAATGTGGCACGAACAGCGGTGGCCAAGCGTTTTATCAACTAAGAAGAAAGCAGAAAGAGCAGCGGCTGGAGCAGCGGACGGAGCCTGGTGGCTGCCAGACGAGTGTGCATTCTGTTTGCTGGAATTGGCATTGGAATTGAGCACAGCCAAGCCAAGAAACGGCAGCAACAACAAGCAGCCAGCCAGCCGGGGACACAGCTGCCAACAGGTTGCCTGCCCCCAACCACCGATAGAACACGATTCTTGTG